TATTGCACATTTTAATGCAATAGGGCAGGTTTATTCTTGTTTTTTTTTCCATTTTGTTTTTTACATTCTTATCTTAATTTGATCGTTGATAGATATTTCTAATCTAGATGAAATAAACGCTATTTTATATTGTCCTGTACTTTTCTATTTTAGATTCATTTTTCTAAATGATATCAAAAAATAATCGATTTTATAATCCAAAAGATGGTACTTATGTCAATGTACCATTTGTACCTGTACATCCAGAAAAATTTCAAGGAAAACGACGTTATGCTACTGATGTTTTAATTGCAAATTGGTATGAAGATCGATCAAAAGTAAGTTTTTTATTTTGTTATCTAAAAAATATTGATCATACATTGTCTTTTTAGTCACAAGATTCAAATTATTTACATAATACAACCTATCGTATTGAATATCCTGCATATCCTGGTTGTTTACCTGATACAACAATACGACGTAGTTTACTTTTATCTCAATCAGAACGACCAGCAAAAATGCTTACTGGTCATCATAATACTGATGATAGTAAACAATTTATTACAAGGTAAAATTTAAAATAAATGAAAACATCTTTGTTTTTATTCTTCTTCTATATTTTAAAGTTATGACGAACATTACAATAGACGAGGACCATATGGAAATGAATGTGTAAAATAACAGTTGTAAACATGATTTTAAATAGTTGATTGAAAATTATATTTTTAGTTTCCAGCAGAAAGAACATGGGAATTACAAAATGATCGTTGGATACCAGAACATAGTGATCATCCTCTTGAAGGTGAACCAACTCGTTTAAATCGAATAGAAAAAACACATTCATCAAAACAAGATTCATCAAAACAACATTTCCATCGTTCACAAACACTTCCTGAAATAAGGTACAAATCTCTTTTCTCTTATTTTTAAATATCATTTCGTTTTTTTTTCTCAAGTGAATATACAGATCGATATATTCCTCATGAATCAAAATTATATTCGGAATCAAAACGTGTTGGACTTTCACGAATATATTCAACTGCTCTTGATCGTACAAATGCGGTTAATAAAGATATTAATTATCGTTCAATAATGAATAGTAGTCAACGACTTCCAACAACACTTGATACAAACGAAATTAGTTATCTACAATCATATCAACGAGATACAAGTATTCCACGAACATATTATTATCTTGGCAAAGTTCCGGATTCTGTCAACAACGAAATGCGTGAAAAATTTCCATTCTTACCTACACCAGTAAATTCTATCGAACGAATCAAATCATCTGCAATTGAACAATTGCCAGGACAACAACAAAATGTTTATTCTTAATTTTTCTTCGCTTGGATATTAAACAAACATTTATTTTCATTTTTTACATTTGTCATACGGAAAAAACTTAATATAAACCATAATATTAATATAGAATTACATATTTCATAATCTCACTTGAGAGAAATTATAAATTCAAGATCATCTATACTGTCACCATCGATTAAATATTTATATCTGTTGACACTTTCAATAATGTCACTATTGACAATGGTTTGATTGATGATATATAAATAACTAGGTTAAGAATTAAATGAATAAACCATTCTATATAATTTGTAATGCTATTCACGATAATTAATTTTTATTGAACTAAATATAGATCATTCAATTCAAAATTTCATTATAAAACCAGTTATTATTTGAGTAGTATTTAGTTTTCTTTTAATCTAAAATAAACTTGACATATCAATGGTTGATAGCATCATGCATAAACTAATATTAAAAATAAAAATCATCCATGCAAAAAGCATTAATTTTCATGAAAAACTACTAACGAGTTCAAAGAAATATATCAGTTAGGAATATTTTTTGAAAAGTTGATTATAGTTAGGAAGTTCGCATATCAAACAATGTACGTAGTATCAACCTACTTGTTCCACTCATATATCCTCAAAACTTTTGGAAGTAGGTCATTTTGTATAAATCTGAGATAGTCCTAACTTTTATATTATTGCTCAATAATTCTGAAGTCGAACCATCTTGTACGAGAAACGCTATTTCAGATACATGAAACTAAACTGAATAATCATGACTTTATTGTTCCTTTTACTTTTCATGATTTTTTTAACCTACAATCAACATAGTTTCTACTACATGGATGTTATATTTAGAACAATCACGTAATCAATTAAATAGATTTATTTCATCTATGGTAAATATATAGGCTGAAAGTAAAACATCACAATTCTAATTTAAATGGAAATTAATCATTAGATGCGTCATAGGTAAAAGAACCGGAAAGTTAAAGATTTGTATTATGCGTCATTTGAATATTTTTGCTAACGGTAGAGTAATAGAAAAACGCTGTTTATATATTTATCTAAATCAGTTGAAAAACTAGAGCTATAATTGAAAATCATGAAGCTTAGCATTAAGATAAAAAGTTAACATTGCTTTCACATGATCTAATTAGGAATAGACATAGTTTTATTTCTTTATCGCATTGTAATTTCGAAATCTTATGAAATCACTTGATTGTGACATTTTTTGTATTTAAAAAAATACTAAAAAATTTTGTTTTAGAATATATTCACTATTTGAGTACTAGTAGTTTAAGAGAATGAGAAATGGAGTAAATGTTTCATGTCAAGATAAAACTCTACATCTTCTATTTTTTTACACTTTAGTACTGTGCATTAATTTTAACATCAGAATGAATGACCTGATAATTATCTTAGTTGATTAAATCTACGTGTTTTTATCTTCCGTTCTGCTTCATAAAAAAAAGAAGTACCCAAAGTAGAAAATCTTAAATTTTATCTTGTTGTCCAATCAACTGATAAGGAATAAATTCTCTGCAGTATTCCATGTAATTAAGAATACTACGAATTAGATTTATTTTAAATTTTTATTTACTTCAGTAGAGTCGATATTTTTCAATATTGAAATTCCGTCGAATGATGAATAAGATAGATTTATAGCATGGCAATTGATTTTATGAGTGCGTTTTTTACATAATCTCTCGGTCTCAATGACAATACTCCATAAGACTATTCTTCATACATTTCTTTCTGCTCTAAATCGTATAAAACACCTTACAAGGGCAAATTTGTTTCTTTACAATCTGCCAAAATAGACTTACCTGTTGATATTAGTTTTGTTTTATAAGAATAGAAGTATATAATTGCATTAATAATCCTTAGTGAGACTTATCTGTTCCAGAAGTAATAGTATCATATGTGCAATTAAAATAAAAATTAAGTTTTTATAAGTACTGCATGTAAGAAAAAAAATTATAAAGATTTTGAGCATGAAAGCGGATTGAATTGACGAAGAAAGATTTCATTTGACGTAAATATAAAAAGTTGTATGGATATATAACAATGAAAGATTAATGAGCAGTTTTATTTCTGTAGGATAGTATCATCTAAAATATACCTTGTATCCCGACCTTTCTATGAAAATATTATTCAGTAGTGGTTTACATATTGAAAGTGTTAGTATTTTAAATATAATATCCTGTTCAGATAGTTCAGAGAATATTTTTCTTATTTTAAAAATTTATCTTCGACGTTGTTATATCTGTAAATAGAAAAGTAAATGACGTTTATTTTTATCAGTAATAAATCTTTTCAAAACTATGATGCGGAAGTGATGATTTGACTAGTTTTTCAAGAATCTGTTTCTAGATATTCCTTATGCATAAAGTATTCTGTGAGCAAACGTCTAATTATCGGTTGCAAATAACCAAATCACATTTGGTTGAATAATAAATGAATTTCGCTTAATCTTCATCTCAAACGGATAGATTTAGTTTTACCACTGAGCGTGAATAAAAAAAAGTCCTAAATACCTATAGGAGAATACAATTTATCAATTCAATCGTCTATGAACTATATTTATTTTAGATTGGAATAAATAAAGCTGTATATTATCATGGTTCTTAAAGAAATTTTTGAAGGTATTATTGTATTTTTTTCTGCATCAAGTTCTCTCATTTCATTCACTGTTCTCTTACTAATCTTTATTCGTGTTCGACCATTAGCATCTGACAAAGCCATTGTTCTTACATGTAATACTTATATCACTTTACTTGGATCTAGTTTTATGACACTTCTCATCACCATTTATGGAATCCATGGTGATCTCCATCCATCCATATCTATGGATGATTATTATTGTCAACTTCGATCTTATATCAATTATGTTTTCATATGTAGTTTCTATTATTCATGTTCACTTCAAGCAACATTTAGATTATTTCGAGTAGTATTTCCAAAACAAAAAGTATTACAATCAAATTATGCTTTTATTATTGC